AATTCCCCCCTTGGGTGGCATGCTCTACCATTTTACAAGAACTCTGAATGGATGACCTGAGGTCGATTTGTCTTGGAGGTGCCCACCTGGTCTCGATGAAGATGATTTCTCAGGACCCCCTCATTGGCCACATCCTGTTATAATGCCTCCAGAGGGAAAAGCTCAGCCAGATCTTTGGCTGTGAGCCACAGCCCTGGACAGTGTAGTTGTTTATGTGACTTTTGGTGAAAACACACAACTTTTGCATGCCCATCATTTTATGTTTGGACTTATTGCCTGTGCTAACCTTTTATATATGGTTGAGTGGGAGTCCCTCTATTCAAGACAGTGGGGAACAATTTAAAATTACTTGTATCAATTGTCTTCTCTCTAATGGTGTAAACTCCTCTTCTGCTCAAAAGAGCCTTTTTTGTTATTGTTCCTGTGCACCTTAAATATACATGGTATGGTGATTTGGGATAACAAGTTCTCCCTGAACTACACCAAGCTTTTATTAGAAAGTGAAGATTTTTTAGGCCAGATTTTATCTAGCATTTTTGCTGTAGTCAATGCTATACAACTTACAGCTGTTTCCACAGTGGCCATTACCCAACAACTGCAAACTGCTCATTTTATCTAGCTTATAATCCCTCTGGAGAAACATATATTACTAGAAGCTAAGTTAAATGCCTTAAAATTGTGGTATTGCACCTAGAAGATATAGTACAAGCAATACAACATCACTTTACAGCATCATTCTGACTTTAGATATGTCTGTTACTCCCTTAAACTATAATGGATCTGAATGGAAATGGTATAGAATTAAAAATCATTTGCATAGAATATGGCATCATGAGAATGTAAGTTTATATTTATTAACCTTCAAACAATTAGTTACTGACCCTGGTCTGGGCCATGTTGATCTTGCATCCAGTTCCCCTTTGCAATTGGCCAAAGCTACAAGGATTTAACCCTTTTAATATCCAACATTCATTCAGTATTATGACCATATTACTTGTGTTAGCGATTCTTTTAACAATATTAGGGGACATTTGTTGGTTTACGGGATATCAGGATCTTTAAGACATCTAGACACTAATAACTTATCTGGCCTTAAAATTTAAAAAGTGTGTGTGTCAAGGGTAACCTGTTGGGAGCTAGGCCCATCCAAGTTTCCCTCAGATATCCTGATGAAAGGACAAAGGGACAGACTTGCCAGGGTCCTTTCTGGGCCTGGGGACAAAGCCTCAAAGGAATCAAGGCTGCATTTTCTGGGGATCCGACTTTTCCCTCTCTTTATCAGTCCTAAGGAGCTGTGTCTGAGGTAGCCTGTGATCCTGTGTTCTCCTTTTCGGTATCTGATTTAGCTTTCTCCTGACTTTAACTGCCTCTATTCATCTGCAAACACGTATGAAAGAAGCTATGTGGCATTTTATATGTAAGAAGCTATGTGAATTCTTTCATACTTGTTATAAAAAAAACTTGCTTCGCATAAGACATAGCTCATGCAAAACCTCCTGATCCCAAACTTTCCTATCATCTTCATCTCCTGATCCTTCCACTGAGAAATCTATCGCTGAAGAAGACCTGCTGGTCCATGCCAGTAGAAGTAGAGGGACAGAAACAGAGGGCAGAGAGGCAAAGGCAAAATGCAGAAGAAGAAAGATCACGAGGCAGAGGGCTGGTAGCCAAGGTAGAGGCAAAAAGCAGGTGGATAGAATCAGACACAGAGGGGCAGAGTGGCACAAGAGCATAGACACAGAGGAGCAGAGGCAGAGTGGTAGAGGAAAGGATGTGGGTGGGAAAGGCGAAGAGGTAGAGGGACAGAGGCAGAGTGGGAGAAGCGGAGAGGTAGAGACAGAAATAAAGAGGCAGAGGAGCAAAAAAGCACAGACACAGAGAAGCAAAGGCAGAAATGGAGAGGCTGTGGGGCAGAGGCTCAGAGGGATGAAGTGGAAGAGGTGGAGAGGTAGAGGAGCACAGAAATAGACAGAGGCAGGGAAGCACTGGCAGAGAGAGAGAGAGAGAGAGAGAGAGAGAGAGAGAGAGAGAGACGAACAGTCAGAGTCAGAGGTGCAGAAGCAGAGGTGGAAGGACAGAGGCAGAGAGGCATGTGGGGCGGGGTAGATAGGAGGCAGATGCAGAAAGGGGCAGAGGGAGAAACACAGAGGTGAGAGGTGGGGAGGCAGTGGAATAAGTAGAGAGGCAGAAATGCATTGGTAGATAGAGATTAATAGAGGAAGAGTGGCAGAGGCAAGGGCAGCAGCAAGCACCAGCGTACACTTGGTACACAGACATGCATACAAACGAAACACTCATACACATAAAAAAATTTCAAATGGAGGCTTGCATTCTTTATACTTATCAAAAAGAGAACCAGAGAAACACCACAGTAAGGAGTGGGCATAGAGTGTGTTAAACGCTGGGGGTGCTTGCTTTTATAGTTCTCATGGTCTTAAGCTGTTTTGTAAGCAGGAAGGGCACATCTCTGTATCTGAAAGTTGTAAACAGAGACTAGCCTTAGAGTTACACATAACTGAAGAAAACACTCTTCCCCCATTCTTTAAAAAAGTTAGGAATTATGTGTATTTGTGTGGGGATACACTCATATGAATACAGATACTACATGGTGCCATTGGTGCTGGGTCTCTGTGGCGCTTAAAACCACCTGTACTCTAGTCCCCTGCCAGAACAGTATATCCCCTCTTAACCAAGGAGCCACCTCTCAGGCCCACTTACCTCTGTTCTCAACAGTGTCATATGAGCTTATGAAACTGAGCTGACACTTTCTCACTTGGACATTAATGAAAACAGAGTCAGCATCAGTGAAATGACATGATTCACTGGAAAATTAAGAGAAATTATTTTATTCAGGCTATTGCCATGGGGAGAATTTTTTAAAGAACAACAGCACAAAAGGTAGTTTTATAGTTGGAGGCAAACATGAAAGTCATCCCTGAGTGCTATGGGAGCCAAAGGAAGTAAGTGGAAAAATATTATCTGAGAGAATTTACACAGGGAATTTGGTCCTTTCCAGCTAGTTGAGAACCTTACAAAAAGGTAGGGGGATTTCTGTACTCTAGTTGCTTTACTAGAATCCAGAGCTCAAACAAAGCTCAGTGCTATCAAAAACTTTATGTAGCTGGTCAGTGGTGGTGCACGCCTTTAATCCCAGCACTGGGAGGCAGAGGCAGGCGGATCTTTGTGAGTTTGAGGCCAGCCTGGTCTACAAGAGCTAGTTCTAAGACAGACTCTAGACAGACAGACAGACACACACACACACACACACACACACGAACTTTACGTAAAGCCTGCCTTGAGATAAGTGATTCTTTTCAGTTTTTTTCCTCCAATAGGAGGATGTAGAAAATGTGTGTGGGGATTAAGAGAAGTGTGTACTAGACCACCAGCTGATGAATAGTAAAGGGTCATATTGCTGTGACGAATTCCAAGACCCTTGCCTTTTGTTCCTCATGACCCCTATGAGACTCTTGGGTAAACTGTATTTGACAAATGATCCTGAACACTGAAGATGAATAGTGGTTTGACAGAAACAGGGAAGAAAGGAGAATATTCCAGGCAGCACTAATCTGCTTTCTGGGCAAGGAAAGACATAGAGGCTTAGTAGAATCATGGGCAAAGTGCATTTTAGGAGAAGCTGGCTGGGGAAAAGCATATAGAAAGAATTGCAGCAAATTTACCAAAGAGCCAATCACAGCAATTATATGACGGGTACCTCCTGTTCTCTCAGAAGTGCTAAGTTGGAAAATAGCTGCTGCGTGAAGGACGGAGGCCCTAAATATATTCGAGACGGCCTGCAAACTCTTGGAAGGGCTTCATTATGTTGCTTCTCTTCCGCACACCTCCAAATTCTAAGGGTTTCTTTTGTTGTTGGTATTTTAGGGGTTTTTTTTTGGGGGGGGGGGTGTGGCCAGAGTCTCACAACCTTGTCCAGGCATCCTGGTACTCACACTGGCTTTGCCCTCACTGCAAACCCATCTCAGTTTCTCAAGTGTAGAAATTATAGAACTAAGTCATCAAGGGATCAAAAGGAATTCTGATGAAACTGTTAATTACACCTTCGTGTATACTGAAATCAACAGCACAGAAGACTCAATGAATTGTTAAAAATCCTACAATTGTAAGCAATGGTAGATAACTGGAGTCGAGACTAAAATCCTAACCATACAGGTAAACAAAACAAAACCCAGTTCAGGAAAGGGCCAGAGACTTGTCCAAGGCCACACTGACACTATACTCTTGAGATAATTCTAATTCCACTCATTCATCATGCAACAGGCACATACCAACTTACTTATTTCTTATGTTTTTATTTAACATAAAAATAATTGGTTTCGTTCTGACATTTTCATACACACACAGTGTTGCCCTTTGCTCATATCCACATCCCATCCCTATTACCATCTCTCACCAGTTATGAACCTTCTCACACTATCCTCTTTCCGTCATCCAAACAGGCTGGGATCAGTTTACTCTGTACCAGCAGTTGTCAAGAAAACATATTTAGTTCTACTCAATTTTACCTAAATATATGTTATTTTTTCTGTAGCTGCTTTTCAGTGTCCACAGTAACCTATCGGATTAGGAACTTTTTAAATAATTTAAAGCATATTATCGGGAAAGTACAGTAATGGAGTACAATTCCTCCGTTGACAGCCAAGGGGCGCAAAGTATTTTTTTTCCCTCTTGGCAGTCTGGACACACTGGTTCCTGTAAGGGACAGAAGACGCAAAACAGCCAGGAAACTAGCAGAACCTAGAAGCTGAAAGCTTGTGGTTCTGGTAAGGCGGCTTTGTGGAGAGAACACTTCCGGCGGCGAGTGCGGGCGTAATCCTGCACGTGGGACGCATGCCCCACGTTCCAATTGGGCACCCTGCCGCTGAGAGGCGGGCTTGCATCGGGGTCGCGCTCTCCAATTGGCTGGTGAGGTGGCCGCCGTTTGAAGCGAGGGTCGCACGTTATCGGGAAGCGCGCGGTACACGGGTGCTTTTCAGGTCTGGTGGGGTTCCAGGACTGAACCTGGTCTTGGATCCCCCCCAGGGATGGACTGCGTGTGGCGTTCGTGGGACGGGAACGACTTCAAAGAGAAACAGCCTCAGCCGCCGCCGTGTCCCGAGAGCATCGTGGTCTCCTGGCTGAGCCGGGCTGAATGGGATCAAGTGATGGTTTATCTGTTCTGCGATGATCAGAAATTGCAGCAGTATGCGCTGAACCGTATTACGGTGTGGCGGAGCAGGTAAGGCGGTGGCGGGGTCAGTCCTCTGACCTGGGTGCTGGGGGTGCCTCACTCCTTCCTTTCCTGAGTTCCCGCGACAGCCTTATTTTCTATAGCCTTCCCCGAAGTTGCCTTCTGGTGCCTCCCTCCCAAGTGCCTGGGGGAGGAGGAGAGGGGGCGGGTTGCAGCCAAGTTCTCCTACTCACCTCGTGGATGAAAACTAGGGTGTATGTCCCCTTAATGTTTTTGGACCGGTGAGATTTAAGCTTTACTTGCCAAACAGAGGGGACCTGAGCCCAGGACTAAAGGGGAGTAGTTAGACATGCTAGGCTGGCTTTCTGATTCTAGTTAGGGATTGGACTGTGGCTCTTTGGATTGGACGCGGTCAGGAGGTGGCTGCTCAGTTCAGTTTGGGGCGGGGGTGTGATCGTGATTTGCGAGCTCTCTAGCTAAATAGTTTGGGGAGGGTGAGAGAACGAACTGTGTCCACACCACTGCTGCTAACTGTAGTAGCTCATACGTTCCGTGTATCCCAGCCAGCGTCTCACTTCCTTTATTAGCCACGGTGTTTTGTATTCCCATGCACTTCCTCAGTGTGTATTGGGAGTAGAGCGCAGCGACCAAGCTTCTGTGGTAGCGGGTGGGACAGCGTAAGGACTTTTATGATGGTGCTGGACTGTGGCCCTTTAGGTTAGGCAACGACCTGCCCCTGGCAGTGGCTTCTACTGCTGACCTGGTACGCTGTAAGCTCATGGATGTAGCTGGTGGCTTGGGCACCGATGAACTTAGACTGCTCTATGGCATGGCTTTGGTCAGGTAAGACCTGCATGGGGGAAAACTGGGGGGTGGCTTTGGGAACTGGAGGTGGGTAAACCTGGATGAACAAGGCTTGGCTTCAGGTGCTACCTGAACAAAAGCCCTAGGTAGGTCTTTGTGTGTGAATCACCTTGTGATTGTTTATCTTGGTCATGACTCTGCCTTGTTCACAACTATGCCTTGCTCACACAATCTTTTCTTCCTTTCAAGAAAGCCTTCTCTCTCCTTTTCCCCTCCCCTTTCTGAAATATGTATTGGTCTGTGAGGGGATGTGAAATTGAGACCATGTGGAGTTTTCAGAACCAAGTGTAGGGCTGTGAGGGAGCGTGACATTCAGAACATGTGGAGTATTTAGATCCAACCCAGCTTTGACAATCTGGGTTTCCCCTTCCCTATTAACTTAGTCTTTTAACTTTTCACCAATTCCTTTCTTTGGGCAGGGTTTCATCATGTAGCTTCTATTGGTCTACAGCTCACTTTGTAACTGAGGCTGGCTTCCTTCTCCAAGGTGATCCTCTTGCCTCTGCCTCCCTAGTTGCCATTGTTCCCAGCTCAGTGGTTCATTGCTGTAATTTATTGTGGATTGTCCAACCATCTTATCATACCATCACCACCACACATACAGAGGGGACTGGGCTGGGCTCCTTGAACTACTTCTTTTCCTTTTCTCTCCCCTCTGAAAGCTGAACGGTTGCTGAATTGTGGAAGAAAAGACACAGGCTGGGAGCTTCCAATTGAACTGAATCATAGTGGTTCTGAGAATTTCATACATTTTGGGGGAAGGGTTGCCGCTGAAGTTTTCTCATACTTCAAAGCCTTATATATTTCCACTATCTGTCTTGATGTCTTTCCCTTTGTCCTCTGTTTCTGTCATTTATCTGTTCCCCATGTGATGTAGTCATTTGTTCTTATAGCTATAGCATATTGTGTTCTATCGTATGTCACTATTATTCCAGACCAAGTTTGCCAAGACCAGAACAGTATCTTACTTATCTGTATTGTTTCAGTACATAGCATAGTCCCCAGTCAATGTTGGGCTGAGTGGAAATGTCCCTGCTTTGGCTGACACCAATCATAAGAACAGGCCAGTCAGTAAAAAGATTGTAGAAATACAAGATATCAGTAACTTTACAAGGAATTTTGAGTGAAACAGGTTTTTATACTCTACCACTTATTTCTTTCCCATCCCAGGTTTGTGAATCTTATCTCAGAGAGGAAGACCAAATGTTCTAACCTCCCCCTCAAGTACCTGGCTCAGGAGGTATGTGTGATAAAATGGCATTGCACATCCTCTTTTTGTAGGAGGGTGTCTTGACTGGGTCATGGTGTAACATGTAAGCAGATTAATCTCATCACTGCCAGGTAGACAGACCCACGAGGAGCATCAGACCCTTAGCTTTCAGGTTTTGTGCTGTTACCACATGAAAGCGTGTGTTCTGTTGCAGCATTCATACACATATGGTTATACTTTGTTTATTGGTTCCTCTCTCAAATCATCCTTCCAATTTGCTTGCATGTCACATTCCATTGTTTCCTTTGTCCCTCTCATTAGGTCCTTCCTCCCTCCCCCACAATCTGCTTTCTATATTCACCGCCTAAACATATACATGCCCATCTGTAAATTTAAATCTAGATTCTGCATATGAGAAAATCTATGAACTGGTTGACTTTCTGAGTTTGGCTTATTTTATTTGCTTCACATCCTGATCTCCTATTCCATCTATTTTTCTGACGATATCATACTTTACAACTGAGTAAAATTTCATTCTGTAAATGCTTCATGTTGTCTTCATGTACATGTTGATAGACCTTTGGGCTCATTATATATTGCAGCAATTGTGAATCAAGGTAGCAGTAAATGTGGATGCGTAAGTATTTCTGTGGTATTTTGCCTTAGAATCCCTGGCCATATATCCAGGAGTGGTGTAGGTGGATCATATGATAATTTTAATTTTGGTTGTTTAGGAACCTCTATAATGGCCATACCAGTTTACACTCTTGCCAGCAGTGAATAAGGGCACTCTTTTTCCCACATCTCACCAGCATTTACTGTTGCTTGGTTTTCTTTCTTTCTTTTTTTTGTTTTTTGTTTTTTTTTTTTGTTTGTTTGTTTGTTTTTTAGTTTCGAGACAGGATTTCTCTGTGGCTTTGGAGCCTGTCCTGGAATTAGCTCTTGTAGACCAAGGCTGGCCTCAAATTCACAGAGATCCGCCTGCCTCTGCCTCCTGAGTGCTGGGATTAATGGTGTGTGTGCCACAACCAACCGGTTGCTTGTTTTCTTAATGATAGCAATTCTGACTGGGTTGAGATCAAATCTTGAAGAAAAGTTATCTTTTCTTAAGACCTAAGGATCTTGAACAGTATTTCAAATATTTATTGACCATGCACATTTCTTTGAGAAGTGTATGTTAGTCAGTATATTTATTGATTGTACAATATTTTATTGTTTAATTTTGGAGATTCTTTATAGCTATTACTGCCTATATGATATATACTTGGCAAAGATTTTCTCCCATTTTCTAAGTTGTGCTATCTCTATGTTTTATTATTTTCTTTGATATGCAGACACTTTTAAGTGTCATGCAATCCCATTTGTTGAATCTTAGGATTATGTCTTGTGCTGTCGTAGTCCTTAACAGAAAGAGTTTGACTTGATGATTGAATGTCCAGTTTTACAGTTTTAAAGAGCAGATTGTTCCCATGGTTCTCATAACTTGCATTTCAGTGGGCTTGGCAAGCTCTGCTTGTCTTTTCTGCAGTCGCCCAGTGAAAGTGAGGAGCCCGACTATACCTCTGGGTAGGGACACAAAAGAGGGTAGTAGTCAAAATGACTGCCCTCCGGGAGCTAGCTGTCTGAGGAAAGAAACAGCTCAGCCAAGCAGCAAGAAAATGCCAGATATTTCTGGCTTGAGTGAGTATGTTAGTTGTGTAGGGGCTTTGAGGGTGGGTATGTTCTCAACCGTGAAAAAACTTCCTGGAGCTCTTGTGGGAGGCAGAGAAGGATAAAGATACCTAAGAAGAAGGAAAGGGCAAAGAGAAGCCAAGAAGGTAAATACTAATGCTCTTTCATAGAAATCTCTTGATGGAGAATGGGTGGAGATAGTTGCCTTTTCTTATTTAACACTACTTCCAGTAAGCAGTAAAATATAATCAGGAACCCTGTATTTTAATCACTGGGGATGGATGGTCAGGGTGATTCATCCCTGAGTTTCTGCAAGCTTCATTATTTTCTCATTTCTAATTAAACTCATCCTCTACTCCTAAATCAGGTGAACATTCCAGACTGGATTGTTGAACTTCGCCACAAGTTGACCCACAAGAAAATGCCCCATATAAATGACTGCCGCAGAGGTGAATGTCACTGGGTGTGATACCTAGCACAGTTAAGCTCCTGGGTCTGGGCTGGGTGGCATTTGGGGAAGGGACACAGAGAGGAGGATTGTACCTGGTGTCAGGACCAGAACTTGGGTGAAATATGTTATAGACTCATTTTGGCTACAGTATAAGGGGCTTTCCAAAGCTTGATGATCACAGTATGTAGTATTTTCATATGGAAAAAGCCATATATGAAAATGTATGAAAAATGAAATCAGGATTAGTATTACCTTGTTTTAGAATTCAATATGACTTAGCAGTGTACTGTTCTGGTCCTGTTTTTAAATTTCTGTTATTTTTATTTGAGTGTGTATTTACTATTTATCTGTGTGTACCTGTAGAGGCCAGGAGAGGTTTTTGGGGCTTCTGAAACTAGGGTTATAGGCAGTCATAAACCACCTGCTCCAGGCACTGGGATCTGAACCTGGGTTCTCTAGGTACAATTGCTGTTAGCTGATGAGTCATCTCTTTAGCCCCACTGTTATGGTCCTTTTTGATATTTTAATTATAGGGTATGTTTTCTTCTTACATTTTGTTATATAGGTGGAAGTAGTCTGAAGGGGTGGGTTGAGAGGTGTAAACCATAGTGTCATGAACTCGGCATTCTTTTTGTTTTGATGAAAACTCCCTGATTTGGGCTCTTCCCTTGTAATCAGGAAACCGAGATCTGGAAGAGGAAAGCAATTTGGCTAAGGGAATGTAAGTAGCTGGTGTAGCTAGGCTTCAGGTCTCCCATTTACCACCCCTTATTTTATATGTCACCCATGTCTAAGGTCAGTAGTAGTGGTTTTTTCTCCTGGGAAAGATACTAGTGAGCAGGAGAATACAAAGACCAGGCTCGAGAGGCTGTATGTGGCTACTTGGGAGTTGAGCCCTGGAGCCGTCTTTTCCTTTGACTTTCCCATTTATACATGCAAAATGAGAGCAGAAGCCCAGAAAGCTAGGAGCCTGCTAGTTACTTGCCCATAGTTGGTCCTATGACATGTCTGTCCCATTCACCTACCTCTCCTAGGTTGCTACTTTGTCCTGAATTGGCTCCAGAAGACGTACTGGAGCCGTCAACTGGAGGATACCCTGAAAGAGACCTGGGAGTTGGAAGACGACCAGATAGAGCCAGAAGAACACCAAGAAGTGGAAAGTGAAACTATTGTTGATGTTGTAGTAGAAGCAGAAGTAGAAGCAGAACCAGAGCCAGAACCAGAGCCAGAGCCTCAGGAGGATGACAAAGATGAAGAGCTGCCTGTTGAAAACAATGTGAACGATAAAGACAAGAAAGAGGCAGATTCTCCTCCAGAACCCAGTCCAAGATATAAAGAGCTGTATGGTAGGTATTCATGTGGGCAAAGAACACTCAGCTTGGGCTCAGAACTGCTTGTTTCCCTAATGGATCGTTTGTGTGGGATCTAGCGAGTCCCAGTATAGAAACTGTTAGAAAGAAACTAACTATCTCACTGGGATAGTTCCGTGATGTAGTGGTTATTGGCGTTTGCCCCATGATTTTTCTCGAGTTATGTGAAGTAAGTGGGGAAGGAATTTTAGTTCTCAGTTTATAGCATAAGAAATGAGATACAAGAGGCTCAGATTCACAGAGGGAATGGGAGGCTGGGCTTCCTTCCCTAACTTTTTTCCGTGCTGTTTTCAGAAAAAGCACGGGAATTGCTGGTATCATATGAAGAGGAGCAGTTTAAGGTAAGTGTCCTTGGTGCAGTATGCTGTTACCTGCCACAGGCATTTCTTCCCTCTTGCCAGCTACCTGAGAGAGGAATCTTGAGAAAGAATTTGAAAGTGGCAGAGCATGAGGGAGCTTCTCAGAATTTGGAAGAAAAGTGGCAAAGCATGAAGGTACTGTTTGGAGGGGGTGGGACTAGGAACGAGGAGAGCAGAGTCTAAGCAGATGGTCCTGTGAAGTGATGGAAGGAGGCAAACCCATAGTGATGGTGATGGACTGTCTGCTCTGGTGTAGAGAACTGGGAATGGGCTAGTTGTAGAGCCTTGTGATTCTCAAGATGACCAGCAGGTGGGGCAAATGAGCTTCCCTCCATCAGATGAGACTTAAGGTAGTTTTTATAGAAAGGCTCAGAAATCATTTAGTTCATTCTCCCTTTTTTACAGACAGATTGAAACCTTGGATGAGGAACGGGTCAGAGTCAGAGTTATATACATAGTTAATAACTGAAGTAGGATAAGAACTTTGGGTCTCAACAATTCCCTTGCTCCCATAACTCATTTCTCCCATTTGTTCCTTACCCTTTGGCTCAAAAATCTCAGTTTATCTCAAACCATATCCTTCCATGTGACACCTAGTATCAGAGTATCTGATTATTGGGAGCCACAGGATTTGGAGGGGAGAGTGGGAAAAGAAGAAAATGTAGTCATTTTTAGTTGCTGGGCCAATAAAGGAGTTGCAGGCCCATCTTGTGTGCTTTGTCCTGTCCCCTAAGGGCAGTGCTGAGGTACTATGCGAAGGGATCCTGAAGGAATTTGGGGTGGGTTGCTTGGCAGGGTCACACTTCTGATTGACTCTTTTTGCTGTCAGGTGCTGGAGAAATACAGGCATTTACCTCAGGCTGTTAAGGTGTGGAACAACCTTTCTCCGTGTGTACAGTGTATCCTGGAAGAACTCAAAAGCATTACATGGGAGAACAGGTTTGTAACCTGGTAACTCTGGGTTACCTGCTCTCTAGGGTAGGGGACGAAAGCCTCATTGAAATTGATTTCCAAACCATACCTGGTGATGTAGACTTGTAATCCCAGCTATTTGGGAGGTTGAGGTAGGCAGATTGCAAATTCATAGCCTGTGCTATAGAATAAGTTCAAAGCCAGTCTGCAACTTATTAGACCCTATCTCAAAATAATAGTTGAGTAGGGAAAAAGAAAGGTACCTGGGAATATAGCTCAGTGGTATTATGGTTGCCTAGTATGTGCAATGCCCTGAATTCAATTCTTAGTACCAGAAAGGGAAAGCAGGTGTCATATTCTAGCTAGCTGATCTCTGTTGTAGGAAATCCTAGAGGAAATCTTCCTCCCTTTTATGGTGACTATGTCTTCTGTATGGTGTGCCTCTAACCCTGCTAGCCACCAGGTTGCCTGCTGTGAGTTACTAGAACAGCCAGAGTTAGGAGTGCCTTCCCTGACAACTAACACCTTGCTACCTAGTCATGCCTAGGCAGACAAAGGCAGGGCCTTCTTAGGGTGTGGCTGCTAGAGACTAAGTTCCCTCCTCTCCCACTCAGTATGGCTGTGGTGTGTCTCCCTGCCCACAATTCAAGCCGAGTAGGCAAAAATGTTGCTCTTGTTTATTCTGCGTAATTCAATTTGAAAGGGCTTTGAAGGACTCACTACCAACAGCAACCTGTGGAGGCAGGCTGGGAGTGTGATGTGGTTCAGTGGTAGAGCAGTTGCCTAGTGTGCACAAAACCTTGGCCTTGATATCTCCAGTGCCAAAAGGGAAGAAAGAAAAGATGAAACAAAAAACTATGGAGGTAAATGCTGGCCCTACAGTGAAGGAAAGTTAAAAGATATCTAAGACGCAGAGTTGAAGAATCTATACTATATCTGTTATAGGTGAGTTTGGATGGAAGCTTGTCATGTAAACTGGGATTACTCTTGTTATCTTGTCTTTATTTCCAGAAGTCTAGTTCCAAAGGTGATGGTGCTGTTATGGGTTTTTGTTTGTCTGTTTTGTTTTTTGAGACAGGGTCTCCCTATATAGCTCTGGCAGGCCTCAAACGCACTATGTAGACCAGGCTGTCTTGGAACTCAGAGATTTACCTGCCTGTGCTTTCTGAGTGCTCAGATTAAATGTGTGCACCCCACCATGCTTCCACAGGCATTTTACTATAATTTGCCCATGCTAGACTTCTTGACTCTACCCTTCAGCAAAAGTCTGAGGAATAGCTTCTCCAGCAGCTGGGAAGAACGACCCCTGTGCCCTACATAGTAGTATCTGCCCTTTTGTGCTGAGCAGACATCTGGTGGCTGTTTTAAGTTCTAAGCTACTTATTTGAGGAGATGAGGGATGATTGGAAGGACAATTATGTTCTCAAACTTGGTCTGATGGATAGAAGGAACTGACTATCTTGTCAGCCCTATATACTAGGATATCATGAAAGCTTATTGACTCCTTTAGACCTAGTCAGCTAGGAGAGGTTGTTAGCAAGCCAGTAGCTGTAGAGAATTCACTGTTGATGATTTAAATTTGAGCTAGATGAAGCTGAGAAATCTCCCCTATTGGTGAAGTTTTCAACCCCTCTAACTTTGATCTGGGTTCTCGTACAAAGTCCTGAATCATATTTGGACTAGCAATTGAATACCTAACATTTCAGCTTCTAGGATCTAAAAGAAGGTAGCAAGAAGGAAATGTGTAGAGGACAGAGAAAGGGGCAGGAGAAAGAACAATATTGTAGGATCTGAGCTCTAACCTAGGCATTTATTTTTTTCTGTCAGCCTAAGACTTTTATTCTGTTATTTGAGTTGTTCAGTCACCACTGCTCTCATTTATAGACATCACATCACCATGTGCTTGGTACATGACTGTTTAAAGCCCACTAATTCCAGACTCTGGCTCAGCTTCTCCCCCGGGAACGTGAAGCTATAGCTATTGTCACCTACTTAGTCCCTCCCACTGACTCTGGCCATTTGAACCAGAGACATTAGCTGTTTTGGAAGTGTTACAGGAATAGGTGAGTCTTCTGTCAGCTTACATTTTAGTGTGTGCTTTTTTTGTTTTGTTTTTGATTTTGTCTTTCTTCTTTGTGCTGGGAATCAGGCCCTGGCCCTTACGCACACTGTGCTAAGTCTTGTACCAATGAGCCCCAGCCAATGGTACAAACTCATATTTCTGTTTTAAATAGCCAATGAATCAATGCAGTATATTTGGAAAGGACACCTTTTTCTTCCTTCGAGACTGAGGTTTGTTATGTTACCCAGGGTGGTTCTGAACTTAAGGATGCTTTTGCCTTGGCCTCCTGTGTCTCCTGAGTAGCTGGGATTGTAGGCATGTGCAACCGTGCCCTCTAAATTACTGTCTGTTTGCTTTAGGGATGCTGTGCTGGATGCTTTTCTGGACGAAGGCTTCCTTATCCCCACTTTCGAGCAATTGGCAGCTTTGCAGATAGAGTATGAAGGTAGGGTCCTGGATGTCCACGAGACTCTTAGGGTTCTGTGTTTCTTGTTTGGGAACTCCAGAAGTGGGCTGGAGTGCGGGGTGGGACGGGACTGAAACTTTAGCCCTTTGGCTGAACAGAATAGACAGTCCTGCTGACGCGTAGTAGTGGTGGCTTTGAATTGGTCAAGGTGGGTAGGGATGGGTAGGGCGGCGGTTTCTTAACACTGTTGTTATGCCTTGTTAAATATGATTTAGCCACTAGCTAGAGAGCTAGAACAGCAGCATTGGAAGGGCCTTGAGAGGTCATCTAGTCCAACATCCTCATGTTACAGATGGTCAGACTGAGGTCCAGAAAGGGGAAGTTACTGAACCAAATACACACAGTGAGTTATCGACAAAGCTGAAGTCAGAATCAGAGCTCTTTTTCTTTTGTATTTGGTTTTGTATCGGTTGTTGTTTACCAGATACTAACTGGTTTCTTTTTCCCTGCTGTTCTGCTTTCCTTTCCTCTTGCTCTGCAATGGCAATTCTTGTTGTTGGGACTTGGGTATGTCTGTTCTTTCTCTTTGGTGTGCATTTTTTCTTCTCCCCCTCTTGCTGGCTTGCTTTTGGTGCTCTCTCATTCTTTTGCTCTTGACCCCATTGCCCTTCCCATCCATCAACGGGTATCCCTCACAAACCAGAAAACATCAACTTGAGTGACGTCTTGGTGCCAAAGCCATTCTCTCAGTTCTGGCAGCCACTGCTCAGGGGCCTGCACTCCCAGACCTTCACACAGGTCCTGCTGGAGAGGATGTTCTTTGAGTTGTCTACCTTGGGGAGCACTGGGATCCGGTCTACCTACATCCTTAGATGGACTGTTGAACTGATCGTGGCCAACACCAAGATTGGTGAGGAAAACTAGCCCTCTTCCCAGGGCCCAGGCATCTCAAGCAGAAGCATATGCCAGTGGTCTCCGCTCTGCTGTAAAGTACCACCATGTGGACAGCTCCCTTGTTTAAAGGTTTAAAGTTGCTCAAGAGAGTCCTGTGGGGAGTAGTGAACAAATAGATCTCCCTCTTCCTTTCTCTTCTCAGAGCCAAGTAAATTGGGCGCTCTGGATGCTTTACACATTTGGAAAATACAGGGTGGAGTATTGAGGGGGTGGGAGGTGGGGGGGGGTGTTGAGGGATTGATCCTGAATTTTGAGGTCAAAGATTGGGTGGAGGACTCACCTGACTCTTTATCTTATCTTAAGCCTCTGTTTTCTTTCAGGACGGAATGCCCGGAAGTTTTCTGCAAGCCAGTGGGAAGCAAGAAAGAGCTGGAGGCTGTTCAACTGTTCTGCCTCCCTTGATTGGCCCCAGGTGGTCGAGTCCTGCTTGGGCTCACCTTGCTGGGCCAGTCCCCAACTCCTTCAGCTGTAAGTCTTAGTTCCCTCTGGTAATAGGGTATGGCCCTGGAAGCCTCAGGGCCTCACAACATTAGACTGGCAGAGTTGGAAGGCTCCTTTGGAGAATTCTATCCTGGTATCCCATTCCTTCCAGTAACAGATTGGAGAACTGAGTCTGGAAAGGGGAGGCGTAGGGTGCTGCTTCCTATGGTCATTCCTTTTAAGACTTGGCTAAACTGAGTCTGGTGTGAGAATGCTTAGCATAGTGGCCTGCACAGAGTAAGTGCACAGGAAATGGTAACTGGTGTTTATTATTGAACCCAGGTCTTCTGGCTCGAAGCCCAGTGCTATCTCCTCTATGTGCTTCCTAAAGTATACCTTTGATAGTTACACAACAATCCCCAATGCCTTCTTAGCAGAATGAAGGTTTAACCTGACATCCAATTATATTTGTGTTTCTGGACCTACCTGTCATGGTAACCATATCTCTTGTGAGTCCCTTTATTCAGTTCTCTCTAAGTTGTGTGCTCAATTGGAGTGTTGTTTTGATTCCTGTAAATATCTGTGGTTGTTTGCCTTTCCCTCTTTTCTGTCACTTCCTGGCCCTAAGCTGCTTCCCTCATTCTCCTGAAAGCCTTTAGTCCCCAATTCTCTTCCTGCTTTCTAGAGCAGTATTTGTCATTCGAGTGACCCATTTGTCCCACATTTCCTCAACTCCGGAGATTTTCATTCTGTACTGTACACAGCAGCACATTTCCATTATTCCGAGCTTTCTTCCTCTGAAAGCTGACATCCCAGCATTCTACTTGGTGACCATGTCTTGTCCTTTCATTTTCACCCTCCTATCCCTTGACACTGCTTTTACCTGTGTCCCAACCACCATTCCTTTATTTCTTTCCTTTATTTTGTTTCCTCAGCCTTGTCTGTAGTTAATCACATCACTTCTCTTTGGCACCTTCTGTTCTTGTGATCCTTTGGCAGTGTCTGACTTACAGACTCCCAGGCCGGGATTCATTTCCCAGCTCTGTTTCTTCCTTCCCTCAGCCTGGGTAGCTAGTCCAGCTTGCCCTGAGAAAAACACAGCACTGCTCGTTGCTGCCAATGTAGCATTACACTTTCTAGTCTCCCGCCAGGCTTCAGTTCTATGTTTGCGCATTTGTTACTGACCACTTTGGCTCCAGTCCTGGACTGTTTTGACCCATTGACCTCTAGTCCTTCCATTTCACCCTAGCTTCCTTCAGTACATGAAGGCATGTACCAGGTCTCCCTCAACCTGACGTTGAGTCTTCTTGAGCTGGTCTGTCTCTAAAGTCAACACCACCAATCTCAGTTTGAGGTAGCCTTGCACTGCATCAAAACCCATTCTTCTGTCTGTGCTTCGGAGGCCAGCATTGTTGGGGCCCCACCGCAGTTTCTCTTTTGCTTAGCTGGTTCTTAGCCTTTATGAATGTGTCTGAGGTTTTTTTTTCATGTTAAAGGAGTAATAATATAAGCAGTATCTGCTTTGACCATGCATATTTTTGTTTGCTTATTATCAGCTTGGCACTTTTTTTTCCCCTATCTCTCAAAAGTGGTTTTCACACAGCATCTTGATTTTCTCCTCTTTTCCTCCTTAACCTGTTGCGGTTTTGTTGGTACTCGGTCCCAAAGCTGCCTTGACCTAATTATCTAAACCAGGTCTCCTCATTAATTTCTATATCTGCTACGTTAATGCTGAATGCCATACCGTCCTGGAAATGCCAGTGTTTATTTCCTGTCCATATAAATTTCTCAGCTCACGTCTCCTTAGTCTAGTCCTTTTCCTCCACAGTTCAGTTTCCTCTATCCAGCTGTATGTTCAGCATCTGCCTTTGAATGGGTGGTCCAGTGCGCGAGCAGATCCTTTATTGTTGCAGATCTCACTTGGTGGTAGTACAGTCTAACCTTTGTTGATTCCTAAATATTTTCCAAATTTGAGATTTATGTTGCCGTGTCTACCCCGTCCCCCTGTGTCTCCTTCCTCCCTCTCCTAGACTAAGCTTTGCAAGGGCAAGAGCTCTGCATTAGCTCTCTGTACTCCAGCGTATTACACAAATCCAGTCACCAGGCAGACTTTCGTAAATGCCATTGAACTCAGTGAAATATCCTCTGCCGTTTCCTTAGCAGCAGTGCTTCTATTGGTAGGACATGACCCAGTGTGTGAGGAATGAGTGAAGTGGAAGACTGGATGCCAAGACTGTGGTCGTTTCCTCATCCATCTATTTGATCCAAGTCTTTCTTGAACCCTTAGTGGCATCTGGGCTACAATCATATTTATAAACTAAAAATGTGGCCTTACAGACAAATTCAGCCAAGGCAGGAGCTTCAGGAGATGGGACCAAGCTGTACAGCCACGCTGCCAGATGTGTGAGCTCTGGATTAGAAGTGATGTGAATAAGAAATGGGGAAACAAACTAGCAGTTTATGGAGGTTAGAGCATCAAAGGAAGCACTTGTGCATTTCTGAAAGAAAAAATCAAGGAAGTTCTTAAAAGTGTAGAAGGAATGTAGGATGTGTTTGTACTTGGGGGAGGGAGTGAAAAGAGCAGAATGGAGAGGTTTGATTAGATGGCCTTCAAGGTACTTTCCAATCCTAAGTGCCTGCAGAGTGGAAGCTGCTGGTCTTGGAGAAGTCTGGACCACAGAGATCTTCTCCCAACCCAAGCATATCAGAGGGATGCGACACATGCCAGCAGTAACAGCGGCTCACCTGGGTACGATTCCTTGTGCACAGATCCTACCTTTCTCAGATAATCAATGAATTTGCATCAAATCACCCATTATACAGAGTGGGAAATAGAGGGGTTGTGCCTAGGTATGCTACAGTTAGGGCCCAAACCCCCTGTAGCTTGTCCTTATGTCTGAGGTTTTCTTTAATGTTCCACATAGATTGAGCTATGGCAGAAAACCTGTTACTATGTGAATATAGAACTCTGTTTTTGTTTTTTTTTCCAGAGAAAATATCAAAGATACCACAGATAATTAAGTATTAGGCATCACGTTTCTTTTTTCAGTAGGCTATTATTTCCTTTAATTTGACACAGCAGTCTTGGGAGGTGGAAGTATAATACATTTTCACAGATAGGGTATCTAGGGACTAAGGATTGTAGTACCTTAAAATCACAGTGTTTTTTGAATAATGGGATGAGAATCGGGACCTGAGTTCTGTGGGTCTAAACTGCACTTTCTTTCTACCAGCCTAAACCCATGACCTCAGTCCCAGGCTGCCACAGGCATAGTCAGGAAAGAGGTGCATTTGATGATTTGTATCAGTACAGCACCTAATGGGCCGGCTAGAAGCTGGGCACAGGGGACGGGTAATAACCAGCAGGGACAAGGCATCTTGCCAACGTCAAGTGCCTGAGGACATTTATTATTAATCACACTAATGGACCCCAGTGAGAGGGTAGGCTTTCTTCCTGCCTTTTCCTCACATAAAGCCGTAGGCATCCAGGAGCTTCCCTCAGCTGGGAGATCAGCTCAATATCAACGAGTGTCCTCTTGGAATATGAAATGAGTCCTGCCAACAGGGACTCCCAGTCCAGTCAGTAGATCCCAGCTCTGTCCCCAGAGACCAGTGGCCAGTCATTTGCGACCAGTCTGCATGCGCTGCTTGTGCTCTCTCTGCAAAACATGCCTAGTTCACATTCTACACTTCGAGAAGGACGTGCCCCATCCCTCCATCCTGCTGTGTGTCCCACAGTGCCGGCCACCTCTTAGGGGCCAGGCTCTGTGAGCTGTGCTCACCTTCATCCTCCCCAGCAGCTCCGTATCTGTTAGTGGTTTTGTTGTTAGCACTGTCTGTTATGTGCACAGTATCATCTTGTTGAATTCTCCTCTGTTGGACCCTTCCCGTTGGTCACCAAGCCGTGCTCTTTGTGTGTTTGTCCTTTACAGCTTCCTCCCTGCCATGTCTACCAACAGTGCCTGAGGTCCTCCCTAACCAACTGTTTTGAGTTGTGAAAACAGGTGCCTCCCTGGTCTTCCTGCCTCTAGGCTCCCCGCCCTGGCCATCCTCCCTCCATGTGGTTAGCATGGTGATCTTCAGAAATGGGGACTTTGACCTGTCCTCAGAGTTGGCAGATGGCCTGCCCCATGATGCACACACTTCCCTTCCCAGCCTTCTTTTCTTCCCACAGCTCCCCAGCACGGGCCTTGCCCTCCCGCCAGGCTACTCTGGCCACAGGCAGTGTGCTCCCTCTTGTCCCTGGGCTACCTGGGCCTCACCTACATGAAGCCCTCCCCAGTCTCTGCTCCCTCCTTGAACTTTCTGCTTCCCCTTAGCTCCTATAGCACGCACAGTCAATTAACAGTGCTCATCAGGCCTCCCTTCCACATTTGCTTTGTCTCGTCAACTGCTGCTGTTTTCTTTCTTTTCCTCCATTCCAGGCTGGGCTGTAGCTGCTCCCATAAGGAATCACACATTGTGTTCCATGCAGAAGAAACCCAGCACACTCCCACCATATCCTTGGCCCTCAGGATAGAATCCTCAGCTAGGCCCAAAGGAGAGACTGTTCTCCCATTCTGATTTCCAGTCCCATATGCCCATTTAGGCTAATTTATATTTATGTAGTGTTTGAGTGCAGACTAGTAGCTGTCACTCATTGCCTGTCACTGTGTACTAGACACTCAGCCAGGCATTCTAGGTGAGCTTTATTTCCTCCTCCCAAGAACCCTAGAAGTTAGATTCTGTTATTGTCTTCATTTTAATGAGGATAGAAGCAAAGCATAGAGATGTGCCAGAGAGCTGAGCTAGGATACATGTTCCTGTTTTGCATTCTCTCTGCTCTATTGTGCTGCCCTTCAGAGGCAGGTATGGAAGTTAAGAGAATAAGTTCAAACCCCAGAGTGCTGGGCTATGAACTGACTTGAGACCTTGACCTTTTCCTACTCCATCCCTCCGTTTGCTTAGAGTCTTCAACGCCATGGGACAGGTCTTGCCCGATGGGGAGCAGGAGAAGCTGCTGCGTGTCTGTTCCATTTATACTCAGAATGGAGAGAATGGTGTGGCAAAGACAAGTGTAGGTTCCTCTTCCGCTGGGAAAAGTCCATACACATTGGATACCTTACATCAGGACCCAAAACCATCTGGTGCCAACTGTGAGTCTGAAGAAAATACTCAACAGAAGGAGCAAGGCAGCCTTAAGGATGCCAAGCAAGGGGAGGAAAAGGAGAATGAGGAGGAGGAGGAGCAGGAGAATGAGGTGGAGCAGGATGAGGATGAGGAACAGGAGCAAAAGGTCTTTCAAGATCAGATGGAGGAAGATGTAGAGGAAAGTTATGACTTGATAGAGGAAGAAGAGGAAGTGGATGAGGATGAAGACGACGATGATGATGATGACGAAGACGACGATGAAGACAGAATGGAGATGGGGGTTTTCTCTCTCATGAAGGAATCCTACGATTTTGAGAATACTAGGGTCATGTCCTCGAAAAGGGAAGCTTTGCAGGGTTCAGCATGGCAAGTAAGCTCTGGTAAGTAGCACTTAAATCCACTTCCTTTCTTCTTTCATCGATTGCCTCGATTCTTCATTGGCCCTTCCTCTGTTTTCAGTCTCCCTCTGCCTCTCCTCCCACCTCTTTTAAGATTCAGTGTCACAATGTAACCCTAGACTTGAGATTCTGTAGCCTTAGCCTTCTGAGTGCATGTCCCACGTCCTCAGCTCTAACTCTTTGAGATAGAGGTTTCACTATGCTGCCTACACTGATGTTGTTCCTATGGGTTCAAGTAATCCCCTTTTTCAGCCTCCTGAGTAGGTAGGATTATAGTTTGATGCCACTGTGCTCTGCTGGCTGACTCTTGAGGCCTTCCTTAACCCTAGAGAATAGATGAGAAAGGGACAGGATGTAGATAGTGTGTGGCAAGCCTTAGGCACCCAGATACATGGATGGCAAGTGGCTTCACATAAGTAGCACATTTAAGTAAGTACCTGCGTGTGATCTTACCTGGGCAGTAAGAGGGAAAGAATGTGATAGACCAGGGCCGTGTATGTATTAGGGCACATGCTTTCATGTACACTAAGAGTGCTTTCTGTGTACACATAGAGGCTGACTGGTGGTAACTAGTTTCTGCTGTGTGTATTGGAACCTGGGGTATTAAGTCAGTAAAACTGGAGACAAGATCAAAAGAAAATAGAGAGTGGTTCAGATGGTAGGTGTTCATCCAAGTCCATGAGATTAAAGCCCAGAGGGGATGCAGGGGAGGCTTGGTGATGGAAAGTGAGGTGCATGGGTCCTTTTCTCTGAGGGTAGTTTTTTGAATGACTTCATTTAGTTTGAGGAGGAGCCTTAATGGAAACAGACATGGAGCAAATAGAACAATCAATATGGGGTGGTACATATCTGCATGCACATGGAAACCAGAGGCAGGGGTGTGGTCTGTTTGCCAAAGCCTGGAGAAGGAGGGAAAGCAGCTGAGCCCAGTGAGGAGTAAGATAGAATCAAGAATTGAATGAGCTCGTGGGAAGATCTGTAGCCTTTGCCCTATGAAGACAGGTATGGAAGGGCTGTGGTATAAAAACTCGAGTGGGAGTCCCAGGAGTGAGCGAGCAGTATGTCTGTCTGTCTCTCTCTGTCCATGTCTGTGTGACATTTGATAGGTAAATTGTGAAATAGTGACAGAAAAACCTCTTAGGGCAAGGAAAGCTGAGAGGTTGGGGATTTGTAAATAGCAAAAGGGAGAGGAATTGGCACCGGAACAGTTGTGTCTGTGGGGTAGGGTGGGGTTAGATGTGGGTGGAAGAGAAAAATAGGGGAGGTGAAGAGAATCTCAAGTAGGTCATAGTGTTGTATGTGTTTTCTGAGGAGAAAGCAAGATCAGCTGAGACACACGAGATCCAGAAAGTGTCTGTGAGGGAAGGTGGGAGCCTGCAGAGGGGTTTATAGCCATTTAGAATCCGCTCTGTGCTGTAACTTAGAGGACATGTACAAGGATGTCAGGCTAAAGAGATCTGGGCAATAATATACATATGTTTGGGAATGTTAGTGATGGGAATGGCCAGCTCATGCCTGCTAGAACCAATGGTAGTGAGCCTTGTGTGTGATGGTATCTGTATTGGGTGATAAAAGATTATGAAGACAGATACAAGTTTTTATAAGGGCCAGGATTAGGGAGATATGCAAATAGAGAGATTGTTCTAACCTCAGAAATAGTATCCACCCTTAAGGATGTGCGTGCGTGTGTGTGTGTGTGTGTGTGTGTGTGTGTGTGTGTGTGTCTTTGGGCAAGGCCACTAAGAAAGGATACGGCATTCAAACACATCATGGGGGTATAGCTGTATAAACAATAGCAATCAGTATTGGTGGGTATGGACAGGACATGGTGTGAGAATTCTGAGATTTCCACTAATTAATGCATTGATACGGCCGTATCTTAGGATGTCTTTGCTTATGCGGTGAAAAGTGTCTGTAGCTGTGTGTATATGTGTATGTAATGTAAGCACATGGGGTAAGAGTTATAAAGTGCCAAGGTGGTGGAATGCTAAGATGCATAGAGTATTCTTGAGAAGTGCTAACAGTGAGGACAGAGCCTGGGACATGTAGAAAGCTAATAGGGCTAGGTAGGTAGTTGGGGGTGCGCCTGTCTACCAGTAGGAAAACCGGCTCATCAGCCCACTTTTTTTCTGTAAATATTTTTATTTGATATTTTAAAATTAGTCTAAATTTTCATGAAAGTATACATTGTATGTTAAAGATATTTGCCACCATACCTTCCTATCATTTTATATTCCTCTCTCATTAGTTTGCCTCGCTTCCCTAGACAGTTAAAATGTGTGAGATGTGCAGTACATGATTTTATGCATCTATGTAAGATAGATAGCACAAATAAGAGAAGGCCTGGTATTTCTCTTTCTGAGATTGGCTTACTTAATATGGTTTTCTGCCATAGCATCCATTTTCTTTAGAGCTGAAAAAAAACCCTTGATATTTATCTGTTGCCTTTCCTTTATTCATTCCTCTGTTCTTGAACACCTAGGTTGGTTCCATGGTTTGGCTAACTGTGAATAATGCTGTAATAGGCACTGATGTGCAAACATCTCTGTGATACATTGATTTCTTGAAATCCTTTGGGTAAATACGGTACTCTGGGTTTTTGTTGTTGTTATTGTTTGTTTATTTTTTTGTTTTGAGAAACCATTATCCTGACTCCCACAGTAGCTGGACTAATTTACATTCCCATCAGCAGTATATGAGCGTTCCCTTTCCGTATCTTTACCAGCATTTATTGTTACTTTTTTTTTAATGACTGCCTTTCTAATTAAGATGGAGTCTGAGTATAGTTTTGACTTTTCCCAAGCTTACTCTTGCCACTTTTTCTTATACAGAAGATGTGCGATGGGGTGCATTCCCTATAGGCCGAATGCCAGGTCAGACTGACGACCCAACAGAACTTTTGTTGGATAATTATGACACCATGTATCTTTTGGACCAACTTGTACTCGAGCAGCGGCTAGAAGCCCCAAAGTCCAGGAGTAGGTGAGTACCTGTGGCAGTGGGCTTTCTCAGCCCTTTGACTGCCTCTGATGGATAAAGAGGAAACAAAAGTGGGTCGGATGAGTCAGTGGTTATGCCCTTGTTAGTATTCCTATTTCTTTTCCCTAGTATAGGGAACCAATGGAGTAGTCACACATGATTTGATTGCCCCTTCCAGGTTGAGTCCATTTTGTATACAAGTGCTTCTCTGTATGCATTTGTGTATGGGCCATTGGAATTGAGAGTCCATTCATGTTCTGCTTGCTTATTCCCTAGGAGATGACTTGAACTCCCCTTCACTCGGGCATTTTGGGGGAGGACTCTAAAATCTAATTGCCCCAGAAGCAGATGAATAGAGGAGGTAGCTGGGGAAGCCAATTGGAAGTGGGATTCCATTATAAGAGGCCCCTTTCTCCGCCAACTAACCTGGCCCTAGGAAAGCTTGGCTTAGTGAGTGCCAGGGCATATAGAGCTGTTGACTTGGCCCATCTTTGTAGCCCTCTTCCATTAGTAGTTGGTATATGAAATGCCAACCCTTACTTTGCTCAGCTTCACCCTTGACTTGGCTATGTGAATGTGACTTTGGGCAGATTCTTTCTTATTCAACTCTGGACCTTAGTTTCTTTGTAAAGTTGTGGGTGATGGGAAGGGGTGGGACTGTTATTTCTAAGTTTTTTTTTTCAGCTATAGTATTATAACTGTAGTACTGGAAAGATGGCTCACTGGTTAAGAGCACTGCCTGGTCTTCCAAAGGTTCTAAGTTCAATTCCCAGCAACCACATGGTGGCTCACAACCATCTGTAGTAAGATATTGTGCCCTCTTGAGGAAGAGACCTGGTCCGTCATCCTCATCATCATGAAAGCCAATATGGACAAGTTCAACAGAACCGCCATATATGGGCTGCTCGTGCATGCTTCAGCATTGCCAGGGAATAATTTTATTTTTTTCATTCATCCACTGTAACTATAGATCTGCCTGAGTGAAGGCTGATAGCTTAGCTATCAACTAGATGGCACCTCATCTAGCTGGAAGGACCTTTGATCTACAGGAAGCAGGAACTAAAAGAGTGTTTGTGAGGTTAGGGAGACAGAGGATAGTTGTGTACCTCAAGCAGTCTTAAAATATGGAGCAGGGTTGGGTCGCATTAACTCTATATCCCAAGCCTCATATTGAGCCCCTTAACTCGCTATTAGATGTGAGAGGGATCCACCCAAATGTCCTTTGGGTCCTAAGCTCTAGGACCTTGGAAAGAGGCTCTACTGAGGTAGCCAGTCACTCTGTTATCCTCCTGGAGCTGAGGTGGGACCTCTATCCCTTAATCTCAAGCAATACATGAGATTTAAGCTAGTTTCTGTACTACAGTTCTGTGTAATGCTTCACTTGAGAAGTTCTAATCTCATTTCTTCCTTTCATGGGCAGGGAGCAGAGCCACCCCTGGTTCTCACCTGAAATCATTTGTCAAGAGTAGCTCCTATCTATCTCTGTATAAAGACAGGCAGGAAGTTGGCCTTTCCCACAGGCACATACAAGTTAAGTTCCCTTAGCTCTTCCAGAGTTTAGAGCCACCTCTTTCCCTCACTGACTCCCCATTTTCTCTGCAGCACTTTGAGCCTAAGTTGTTGTGGAGACAGTAGCAACTCTAGCAGCAGCAGCAGCAGCAACAGCGGCAGCAACTTGGAGGGCCTTCTCTGGAACCAGGGACAACTGCATGGGCTCAAAGCTGGCCTGCAGCTCTTCTGATGACTGTCCTTATGCAAGTGGCCTTGAAGCCCCGCTATATTTCACAGCCCAGAGTCCATCCATGGTACAGACTGAACAACCTGGGAAATAGTTCAGATCAGCTGTATCAATTTAGCTTTCCACCGCAATAGAAATTTGAATATTTCCCCAGATTTTCTGTTTTGTTTTGAAATATAATAAACAGATTTTTTGTCATGGTGTTTGTGAGATGAGGGTGTGTCTTCTGAGTTAGGTAAGTGTAATTTTCCCTTTGTTTTGTGGATATTCTATAACAGGTGACATGGTAACAAGGGTTTTAAGTAGAAGCTGGAGTCTGGGGCCTATTAAGTATACCAATTGCTTTCATAACTAGACTGTAGGCATACCTTCTGCCTGACTCCTTAAAACTTATTTCTGCATCGCACCCCTGTAATGTGGGCAAGCCTACATGAAAGCATCAGGGCCCAGAAAAGAGGCACAGCTGGCTCTAGAGCCCAGTGAATAACTGGGGCATGGGGCTTTGTGGGGACAGGAGGTAGCGGGGAGTGGGATCCAGTTTTTCTTTTAGCAAGCAACAAACTGAAAAACCAAGAAAAAGAAAAAGCTGGAAATATGGTATACTTTGTCATTTCTTTGTCATTTGGCTATGAAAAGATACAGTATACTTCTGCAGTCATCTTGGAGCTTTAAGATATATCTTAGTGATGTCAGCCCCTGTTTTCAGTCACCTTACCTCATAGTGCCTATTCTCCATCAGACCCTAGTTGCCAGGAAACATAGAACCTTTAGCCTGATGAGGAAGGACAGAGTTACTTAGGCATCTTCCAAGTACCTTAAGCTGTTTCTATAAATAGCTGCTCCAAGAAATGTTAAAACTTTATGTTGGAAATGCTGTTTCGGAACCCAGTCAAGGTGTTTTGTGCCCTGCCTACCCCAAAGCCACTCCAAGCTGCAGATGGTACTCAGAGCCTCAGCCATGGTAACCAGATATTTTCATCACTGAACTTCAACAAGGGTTCTAACTTGACCTTAAGGGAGTGTATATCATCTAAAAGTATACTATATAAATAGTATGTTTATAATATATGCATATTTAGTGCATGCATAATTATGTATATTACATATATACATTTATGTGTATGATATATACATACACACATATCTTGATTTGATATATTGCTTTTCAAGGGAGCTAATCTAGTTTTTGTTACTCTTCAAAGCAGTCCATGAGTCCACCAGCACAACAAACTTTACCATGTAAGCATATAGGTGTTGATAAAGCACCCTTGTGCATTGGTTAATACAGAGGTTTTTGGGTTTTTTTTTCCAATGCTGCTCTTCTCACAAAGGCAAGGGCTAAAGGTTTTCTAGCATACCCGAAAGTCAAAGCCTGAAAGATCAGCAAGAATGATCTAGATTAAATATGAAGAAGGGACTTGAAAATATGTGGTTACATATTCCATGGTCTAAAGATGCATATTTATAGTCCTAGTGTACATTAGACTAGCTCACTTTACTGTGTATGTTTTGGGGTTACATGATATTGCTTTTTAAAGATTAGATTTTTCTGCCTAGAAAAAGGTTTGAAAGTAATAGTTCTTGTTTGGTTCCTCCTGCTCCCCACAATGTATGTACACCTTTTTACCTATTTTTTCAAATATCTTGAGATTCTTTTTCTCTTAGGCCCCTAACCTAGTCCACATTTCCCTTTAAGTGTATTGAGATACTGAGACAGACAAAAGAGAAGTGATTTACCCTTGGTCAGAGAGAGCGGTTGCTAGGTTGTTTTTTTTTTTTTTTGAACATCATCTGGGATCATTATGGATGAGGATTATTAGACCCCACTCCTGATGTGAATATGGTTTTGACATAGATGCGATTATTTTGATGCACAGTGGAGTTTGAGATGTACTGGTTGACAAGAAAAAGCTGCCTAATGACGCAAGTTCCAGGCATTTCCTAGTACTTAATTAGAGCAACCCTGGGCAAATCATCCCATTTTCTTAATCTGCAGGATAGCTACCTCAGAAATAAGATTGTGCAGAACAGGACAGATTAGAAGATGCTTTTGAGGATCTGGGGAGATGAATTCATAGATAAGAATGCTGGAGGATCTGAGTTCAAATCTCAGCAACTACATAAAACACAAAGCATGGTTGTGCATGCCTGTAACCCTAGTATTAAAGGAAATGACAGCTGTGTTCCAAGAGCTTTTTAGGCAGCCAGCTTAGCCAAAATGGTGAGATTTCAGTTCACTGAGAGATCCTGTCTCAAGGCACAGTAAGGTAAAAAAACATCAAAGGAAAACACTCAAGGTTCTCTGGCGTCCACATGTATGCACACAGGTGTATGGTCCCATACATGTGCATGTATCATATAGATACTATGTACAACACGTTTTCTGAAAGAAAAAAAAACATTGGTAACCCACTTCAAATTCCACATGGAGTGCCATCTCCTAAGAATATAAAAGAGTGTCCAGTACATGACAGACCCTCAAATGTTTACTGAATGAAGTGTTTTTCTGAAGCATTTGTTTTATATATGCAAATAGTGGGTATACACAAACCTTTCTCAAGAAAGAACAAGAAAATGATTTTCCCAAGTACATCTGTAGTCCAAGTACTTGAAAGGCAAAGTCAGAAGAACCGAGAGGTCATGACCATTTACAAATTGTATGTGTGTATAAAGTTGAAGTCCAGCCTGAGGTATGTAACAAGACTCATCATGTCAAGGGCTGAGAATATAGCTCAAGGGTAGAACACTTACCTAGCATTTGTAAGACTGAGTTTGATTGATAGAACCATAAGAAACAAACACAAAAAATTAGACAACTTTGGTAAATTTCTGGTGAACTCTGTGAGGAAGGGATGCGGATCTGTGTCTTGGTGTTTATTTAACCATGCAGATTGAAAGGTCATACGTTTAATATTATAGGAACAAATTGGAGTGTTTGTGCATTCACTTTGACTTTTGTTGCTGATGTGCTTAAAGAAAGATCCATTAGTGATTAGTAGACAAATAGTTTATGCAATAAATGGGTTTACAGTTCATTGTTGTCAACAATACAGCATTTTCATCACAACTACAGGTGAAACAGAACCTCATGGAGAAGTTGTAAGTACATTCATGCTAGTGAGATTATTGTAGAAAGCATTGCACATGCATCCTAGGAGCAGACAAAACTGGACAAGGGCTATATTTTCACTCATCTCAGGTTGGCTTTGTATTTTGTCATTGAGACTTACATTATGTTTGGGTCAAATAAGAAACCCAAAGTGGTTTTATAAAAAGTTTACAACCATTAAACAATACTGTTTAATCCCACAAATGGATAAAACAAATTACTATAGCTCAATGATACACAAACCAGGACTAAAAATAGTCAATCTGCCTATGTGTATAGCTAGCTATAATACAATAAATATCAAATATGCTGGGTCTTCACAGAGGCATTGACTACTTTAGACAAGCAAGTTGTAGAAATACACTGGTTTTGTTTCAAATGAAAACTAACACTGGTGCTATTTTGGTCGATTGAAGATTATACACTCCTCAGTTTCATATCCGAAGAGAAGCAAACTAGGAGGAGGAAGAGAAGGGTTATTAGGAGGAGACCTGAGCAGGGAGGGCTCTTTGGACAACTTGGAATTACTTGCCCTCTGCAAATTCCAAACCTGGTTTACAGAACAAAACAAACTATTGAAATTGTCGCCCCCCCTCCAAAGGCATTTGTACAAAGCTGCACACGTAGAGCACAGATAGAATGAGAGCCTCTTCACAATGAACTGTCCCATGTTAGAAGGAAGCTGTAACAAAGATTAATAGATATTAATGGTTGAATTATTATATAAAGGTTATTTCAAAATGAAAAAAATGGATTGTAGAGGAGTAGTCTCTTAGAAACTAGAAGGTTGAGATATTAAGGGGGGGGTAAAATCATGCTGTATGCTTCATTGCTTAGAAGAAAAGTTTTACAGACCATTTCCATAAATCGTCCGTCATTTTCTCCTCCACACCTGGTACCTTAAGTGAGTTCAGGCGTTCCATGTTACCTTGCAAAGGCTCCTTTTTCTGTGAGCTGTCTTATAGAAAGGGTGCCCTGAATTGACCATACCCTCCAGAGTCACCTTTCTCCTTTAGATGGAAATGAAAACAACAACAATAAGGTCACAGCAAGAAAATGAAAATCAGAAAATCTACAAAGTCTAAGGCCTGGACAGGCACAGGTTTGCTATGAGGTCAGAAAATCAGTGAAGAAATTCAAATTACAAAGCACCTCTTACAGAATCCGCTGCTCCTCAAAAACCACACAGAACACTGTGCCTTAACTCCTGCTGTGTACTTGGAGGTGAGTATCCCACAGGACACACACTTAGCCCCTTAAGGGCACTAACGAGGTCTCAATGCTCTTCTTTATTTGCTATTTTATAATCATAGACAAAATGGAAACATCAAGAAGTGTGCAGATCTTGATATAAAAAATGTTTCTGTAATGTAAGAACCACACTGGATTAATGCATTCGTAATGATACAGCTCCATTAAAGATTCTTACATATGGTTTATTACTATTGACCCTTTATAAAAATCCCCTTTATAAGGACATGTTAAATTTAATAGGCTAAGGAGAATCACAATGTTGCAGATTGTACACACAATAGTTGTGCATCTAACAATAAAGAGGCCTTGAAAACTGTATTTGTCTATAAACTACTACTGCCCTTTGGAAATAAAAGCTCCCTCGTTACCCCTGGGCTACTTTCCTGTGACACACAGTGCCACAAATATGGTGAAAATTAAGTACTAAACATAGTTTAAGATGAGTTTTGTATATTTGTTTCTATACAATCAGGAGAAAAGAGATACAATTTGTATCAACAAAAGGTCATTTCTGGTTATTTGAGGCATTGCTCTTAGCTGCTTTGGTTCATACACATTTGACGAGGAGAGAAGAATGGCAATCCTTTCTTAGAAAGTGAAAAATACATATGCTATCTTAAAAAATTCCCCTGCTGGGAGGAGCTTACAATTCTTTAGCATTTTAAACATGAACATGTTCCAGATAAACTGCAGCTAATGAGATGTGTCCTGTGCTTCCCTGTGACCTGGGCAGCTCATGGACACTGCAGAGTCATTGGCCGGAAGAGGATCTAATTGGTAGAAAGGCATCAGAATAATCTGAGATTGCCAAATACCCTGATTTACTCAAGGGGCAGATTG